TCTTTTTGGATAAAGAAGTAAAAAGTTAAATTTTCCTATAGTATCCCACACAAATTAAACTTTATTCATTACAATCAGCTGCTGTGTATTTTTTTTAGATTTGTATATAAGACAGGTTTAAAAGAGATGGGCTCAGTGTTTTTTTTTCTTTTTTTATTTATTTAGTTTTTTGTTTTTCTATGAACCAACCTGTCACTGCAGATAACTGGACGTCTTTTAATGTCCACCTAAACATGTTATTGTTCATAACTTGGATGATCTTACATTTAATATACTTTTATCTAGACCATATAAGTGGAATTCTTACTGTACGTTTCCAGTTTTTTGCAACTGCTCACAGGTTTTATTAATTGGATTTAGCTACATTTATCTTTCAAAGCTGGAAAAAAATGCAACCCCCGAACCGTTGCTGCCATCATCATGGGAAAGGTGATGCTGGCTTAACAGTTCTGCATTTGAATAGATCATGTGCCTGGGCATGTTTGTCTGTATCCCCTACAGCAGCGGTGAGCAATTCCAGTTCCTGAGGGCCGTTATCCTGCAACTTTTAGATGTGTCTTTGTTTCAGCACACCTGAATCAAATAATTAGATGATTGAGAGGACTCTGGAGGAAGTGACTGCATACTAAGGAGGTAACCGAGCCATTTAATTCAGGTGTGCTGGAGCAAGGATGGATCTAAAAGTTGCAGGATACCGGCCCCCAGGAACTGGAATTGCCCACCCCTGCCCTACAGGGTTTGTGGCAAACTGCAAACTGGACTCATTGGAGCTTTATTTTTATCTTTCATCTGACAGGACTTGTGGAGTTTGTGGCTTATAATCATCCTTACAAAATATCCACCGACTTGATCTGCTTCTCTGATTCCCGACCTCCTGGTTTGGCCTTCAAGTTATTTAAATGGCCAACAACTGTATTTATGTTGAGAATAAATTACACATATTTAACCCATCCCATCACCAAGTGAAACCTCCGCCCTACTATTAATCTGGAGCTGCAAGGAGAGGCAGGAACTTATTGGATGGATGATCTCTATTTACTAATTAGGTGCTAGTTTAACCAGATATTATTAGTGGATATCAGAGTAAATAAGGAGGAAGACACTTTATGGATTTGTGTTTTGAAAATATATTAAACCACAATAATGTAGTGTAGTATTACTTAACACAGAAACCGCAGTAGAATTCACGGAAGTTTGCATTTGTAATCTCACAAAATTGTAAAAAAAAAAACCAAAAAAAAAATCAGGCGATCTCAATGAAAAAGAAAAAGAAATTCACTATAGATCCCATAATTTAAACCCAAATTGGCTTTAGATATCAGAGTTTTTAGTTATTGCCTTTCTCTTTTTAGAGTCGAAGGATGGATCCAAAAGCAAAGGGCGCAGAGGGGCAAAGAATGCTGCCACTGCTGCAAAGGTAGCTCTTATGAAACTAAAGCTGCATGCTGCTGGAGACAAGGGACTGCCACAGGTAAAATCAATTTCACTTTTCATTAGGATAACTTTAATTTGGTGCGTCTCTTTCTTCCCTCCTTTCTTTTTTTGAACTAAAAAGTAGAGTTAAAAAAAAAAACTAGAATCTTTCTGTAGAACATTGGTTTATCATTCCCTGGTGTTTATTTATTTTGTCATATATTTCAGACAGAAAGAACCTATTTGCAGGTTTATCTTCCAAAAGAATCCAAGGACAGGAGCCGACCCATGTTTTTCTCTTCAAAATGGACCGTGGGTAAAATGGTGGACTATGCAGCCTCCTTAGCTGGCCTCAAGAACAACAACAATGTTCTGACAGCCAAGGTAAACAGAGAAGGGTAGAAGAGATTACATCTCTGTGCATGCTCATTATTTTTTTGTTTTTGTGTTTCAAAAAAGAGATAATATTGATAACATTAAAAACATATTAAAGTTTTTTTGAAAACAAAAAAATGATAAGAACGCAAATGATATATGGAAGCTTGGAGTACATATCTAGGAATCATCCTTTATTTTGTATGTCTGAAAAACGGATAAAACCCATTGGTCGTAGAATCCCAGAAACATCTTAGATAAAAGAGAAAAGCTGCCGACCTGAACAGGTTGGTTGAATACCACACAGTTGGTTCCACATATGTTGAAGATTATGATCTGGATTATAAAATGAAAGAAAAAATGGCAATAGCTTTTAGTTTTTCCAAAAACACTGGGTCTTAAATGTAAGAGCTCAACTGAAACATGCAGAATATTCCAATGTATAAAGTTAATACCATTAATACAGAGAGCTTGATGTGTTTAATGTCTTTGTCTGCATTTGCAGAAGCTGCGTCTGTGTCACCCCGAGTCGGGCCAGGCTCTGCAGATGGGTGACTCCCTGCAGTCTCTGCTGGCTAACCCTGAAGCTCCGCTGTACAATGGTGGCAATGTGATTCTGGAATACCTGGACAATGACTCCACGGGACTGGAGGATGTTTCTCATTATATTATTCAGTCATGACATGGCAATATCACTGATATTCAGATGTTGTGCAGGTTTTTATTTATGTGAATAAAAATATTTTTGTGGATTTTGGTTTTATGCTAATGATACGAGGAGAAAATTAGAATGAGATGCAGCAACTTTATATATAATAAATAAAAAATGTTTGATTGGACTTTAAGATATTAAATTTATCTCCAGTGGAAAACCTGCTAAATTTATGACATTGTGACAACTATTCAGTTATCAAATTTTAGTTTATTTCAGTTTTTTTGTTTTGTTTTTTGTGATACATCAGAACAAAGTAGAAAAAATCAGAATAAAAACAGGATTTAAGTTTAAAAATATCCTTAAAATTGATGATGCGGTCAAAATGCGAGATTTCAATATAAAGGGCTCAGAAGTTGGAAGAGAAGCTGAGTCAACAATCTTTGGAGCTACTTTGGGTTGTTACGTTTGTTTAAAAGGGAGAATAAAACAAAAATTATTTTAAACCCCCAAAAAATTGCAACTGAAAAAAATGCAACTATAAAATACGTTTAGTTTTGCATTTGTAAAAAGAAGTCTGGTGGCGAAAAGATAAAATCTGCGAATAAAAAAAAAAAAAAAACATCTGAGAACTAGTTCTGAGCTTTTTTCTTTCCAGTTCCACATCTTTTTTTTTTTTTTTTTTTCTAAATTTTCAATAATTTACTTTTGAACAAACTTTATGGAACAAAATTAGCTCAATAGTAATCTGGTAACCTGAAAATCTATATTGATCCAAAAATTAGCAAGAAACTGGAACTTGATGTTTATTTCTGGATATGAAGAGAGATTACCCACAAACAATCATTTATCAAACCACTGAATTGGTTGCAAAACCTATTGGTGTGCTTTAGGTTTAAGGGTTTAGGCCACATAGATTAGTGGTTTGTAAAGATTTGATCATTTAGAAAGCCAACAAGCCACACACAGTACCTGCTTTGCTAAAAGGAAAAGGTGAAAGAACAGCAATAATTAAACGCTTGATATTGTGGAGGAAATGGGAGGATCAGAAAGGGCGATGCAAACACAAAACACAGATCTGCCACAGCAAAAGAATATGAGGAAGATAATAAATGAATAGCTTTTATATGAAAACAGCCGTCCCAATATCTTCATTTGTGCAAAAGATTTGTAACTGCGATGATTGTACACCTAAAAGCTGGACATGCCAGCAAACAAACAGTCAAACCAACAATAGAGTGGTTAAGATCATTATATATATGGTTTTATATCAATATGGCGCAGATCCAGCAGTTTCTGCAACAGCTTTTCCCCTGCTGCCATAAGACTTTTCCACTGTTAAACTCTAAACTGGACTCACCCTTACAACATAATTTTGCACCACGTACGTGGCAGGAACTTTTATAATCCTTTTAAATAAGACAGAAAATGTTCTACAGCCTTTTGCACCATATTTATTTTGCACTGCACTGAACCTTCCATATTCATGCTTTTTTGCAGCATTAGTTATTTTATTTGATTTTTTAAAACAGATTTTCCTTTTCTCCTATACTGTTTACATGACGATCACTGCTGCAGTTTAAATTTTAATGTTCATTTTACTGTTGGAAGCTGTAAGCAACCTAATTTCTTCTTGTATACAATAAAGTTAGTCTAAGCCTATGTGTTATAATGGGACAAGGTCAATCCCTAAACCAAATTATTATTTACCAATTATTTATTTAAGACACCAAACTGTATGTTCATAGGCGTTGAACAAGTGACTAAGCTATGCAACAATTGAGCTTTTTAGACCTGTATAGTCATGTCGAAAAGGATTTGTAGTTGTTATTACAAGAAGCGGATCTGTCAAAGGTGATGATAAACACAGCTTACTTAACGTTCTGTAGTTTTTAACCCATTTGGAAATGTTTGCTTACTAAAAATAATAAAAAAAAATCTAATAGAGAAGTGACAAAAAACACAAGCTATAGAAGTATTTCCTTTTTTGACAATAAACATTAACCCAATATTCGAACTGTCTTAACCAATCATTTTTTACGCTGTATAGTGACAGGCTTAACTAGCCAATCACAATGCGACATGGAAAACTTAGGCGGGTCTTATTTGATGTCTATATATATACTAAAGGGGCTTGTCGACAGACACAGAAGGTCTTGTTGTTTTGATGAAAGCAGATCGGTTTTAGGAGGTTATCAATAACTAGCAGGAAATATACTCCGTTTAATTAAATCTCAACAAACTAAGTCGCTTTTGGCTGCTTTTCCGATCGAGTCGCTGAGAAAAGAGCGACTTGATCCCCCCTCGATACAGGTCGTTTTGGAAAATCAGGTCGAAAGGGATGCCGCTGCAGATAGACTCCGACGGACGCCAACAGTCTCTGGATTTAATCTCATCGCATCTAATCGGGAAAAGCAGCTTCTCTATAAACTTAAAGGGCCTCAGAACATCTCCCGCTCGACCGAGTGCTTCTGTAAGATACATGAGCTCAAGTTTACGGTGTTAGTTTCGCTGTGAGGCGTAAATATTCGAGCTAGCAGCTATCGGTAGCTGGAGGAAAAAACAAAGCGCGGATCATTAATCCTTGGTAACCGATTTGATCAAAGAGACCGCTTTCTAACGGTTCGCTGTTCTGGGATTAACCCGCTTCTACCTGCCTGCAAGGAGGATTACTGGTCGGTAAGTAAAATAAACTCGAAAGGTTAAACCAGGAAGACTATAAATATGTGGGGGAGGGGCAGTGTTTTTTGTTAGAGGAAATAATATCTGTAGTTGATCCAAGAGGGGCGCTGCTGTTACGCAGTTTATTCTATTAAGTGTGCTAGAGGAGCTTAAATACGGAAGAGGATTAGGGCCACTGAAAACAAAAAAAATGCTTTTTAAATTTTATTTCAGTTTAATATGGGGAAAAAATTTCAGAATTCTGACTTTAATCTCAGAATTCTAATCTCAGAATTTCTGACTTTAATCTCAGAATTTCTGACTTTTTTCCCCCATATTGAATTGAAATAAAATGTAAAAATCAGTTGGTTTTTTGTTTTTGTTTTTTTTCAGTGGCCCTAATCCTCTTCCGTACTTAAAGAGTTATGACTTCTCCCCTTTATTATTATTATTATTATTATTATTATTATTATTATTATTATTTCTTTCCCTCTTAGACGACCATGAAGCTGTTGGAAAACTCCAGCTTTGAAGCCCTCAGCTCCCGGCTGTGTGTTGAAACCGGGGAGTCACGCATCCTTGGCAGGTAAACCCTTTTTAAACGATACTATAATAATTGTCTGTGTTTTTATCGTATAAAGTCAAGATCATATTAAGAAATGAAGTGATGCAGCAATAGACAGCTGAACAAATCAGCATTTCCCCCTTTTAATTCCTTTAGATTAATTAACTCTGACCTTCGGCTCAATGACATAAAAACTCATATTTGTGCAGAAATAGTATCTGAAAGGGGGGAAAAAAACATGTATATAAAGTATTATGTTAATGTTTAAGTACCAATTTTAAAATACATCATATATTTCTACCATCTTCAACATGTCCAGACAAGTCTAGAATATATTAGTCCAGGTTTGGACAGGTTGAAGATATCTCTAACACAGGCTCCCTCTAAGATACCTTTTTATTGATTTTTTATTTTTTATTTTATTTTAACAGTCTGGGTATTTAATTTAGGTTTGGGGGATGATTTACAGCAGCACTCTTTCCTTAACATTTAATCCATTGGTGCACCATATCAGATTTTACTCAGTGTATCTATTCTGGGGCTCCATATATTGTGTTCCAAAGAACTAGTTTTGCAACTAGAAGAAAATAATAATAAACTTGAAAACACTTGTGCATCAAAAAGAAAACGTGAGGCTGAAGCCTAAAAAAATAAAACCTGCAGCGACAAAATAAACAAATCAAACTAAGTAAAAAGCTTGAATTTAAAAAGTAGTTTTTAACTTTTCACAAATGGTTTTTCAGTTAAAACATTTTTTTTTTTTTTTTTATCAAATTTTCCAAGTTTATTAAAAAAAAAAAACAAAAAAAAAAACTATGGCCCCTTTTCAGACAGATCTTAAGCTGAGCATGGTTTCACTTTTAAGTTCAGAGCATAGGGCATTTAAAGGACGCCATCTCTGTGTTGTCCTGTGTTTCTGTTGCGCCGGACCATTTGCCTATAGTGACGTCATGGAACAAGGCTGCTAAATGATATGAAGATCACCGACCCTGTGCTTAATTAGGGTAGTAGAACTGTAAAGTCATGCAATAAGATTTTACTACCCTACAGCTGCTTTCCAAGCTGGTGTTAAAAAAATATATATATCAAAGATAACTGACAGTACTTGTTATTTACCCTGCAGATTGTAAAGCATGCCTGTCTGCTTGAGGTTATGTAATCCTCTTCTCAGCCTCTTCTTGCAGATACAGCTAAAAAACAACTGTAATTACATAAACTCCAGTGGGCTGTGCAGCTATGCGCTTTTGATGCTGTGGGCTGTTGAAACCGAGCTGCGTTGGCTTTCAAAGGGGGGGGCAGATCACGGTGTCCTTTGGTTATTTTGGTGACTGTTGTTAAGCTGGTTTAAATGTTAAAATACTCGTTAGGTGATAGCTGAGTGCTGCTTGGTGTTTCAGTGCAATTAGAGGATCACTGGAGGAGTCAAATTCAGAAAGTAGGAATTTTTGAGCAGCTGCTTATCGGTACAGCTTAAGTTGAAAACGGCTTCAATAGAACTCAAGTACAGTAACAGGTTGTTGCTAACAGTATTTAAACACAAGGACAGCTGTGTTGTGTTAGGGATACCAGTGATGTTATGTCCACTGTGTCCCTCGGACGTTCCTATTAATAACTTGGGCCCCCATGAAAGATTTTCACACACTCTATCTTTAGCTGCAGCACCTTGTTTCACCTCAGAGTTCACTGGAGGAAAATAAACAACTCTAGTCTGCCGTAGTCTGATATCTCAGACGTCTGACCCACATATTTGAAAAGCAGGGGGCCTTTGACTGCGACTCACAAGACATTTGTTTAGATATGACTTCCAGCGGATGATAGACCTGGAGATCTTTTTCACATTTTTTTCCATCACAGCCAAACTTGACTCATTTATAACTGGATCATGTTTTAAAATTTTCTGTTTAACCAGACTTTATGCTACCAATGTGTCAAATTGTTCAAAACAAAATGAAAAAGATAAATTAGGGTTGCAAATGACGACAGCTTTGATTTTTATTTTTTATTTTTTTTTTATTCTGTTAATAACTGGATGGCAAAAGGTTCCTTTGAAGAAGATTTTACTCAGAATTTTTAAGGACTACTGAAAAACTGTTACTAAATTAGTTGATGATTATTTTATCCATCCAATCTTCGCCCACTTATTCTGTCAACGTCGAGGTGGGGCCATTGCCCATCTCCAGCATTCTCTGGGTAGGGCTGCAACTAACGATTCCTTCATAATAATCTGTTGATTATCTTTTTCAATTAAAATATTAATAATCGGAGAGTGAAAGGTTCCTTAAAGAAGATTTTAAACAGAATGAAACTAGGTTAAACTAAAACTTTTTAACTCGTGGAGTTCTGGATAGAGATTATTTACAGGAGAAAATGTTTTTTTTTTTTTCCCTCGCTTATATGCAAAATATTTATATATTTTTTTCACAAATTTGGTATAATTGCTGCTCTAAGTGGGTCGCTCTGTCAACTTAAGGCATGTTTTAGAGTTTCTATACTCCAGTTAACAATAAATCGCTCTATGAGGGGAAAGGGTACGCCCTGGACTTGCCGCCAGTCTGTTACCTTCCACACACACACTCGCACCTAAGGACAATTCATAGATGCAAATTAACCCTAAGAAAACCCAAGCATGCACTGGGACAACATGCAAACTCAATGCAAGAAGACTCCAGGCCAGGAATCGAACCCAGAAACTGCAAGGCAACAGTGCCACCACCTCTTCCACCGTGCAGCCCCAAATATATTTATTTCAATAATAAATGAATCATGATTAATCCCAAAAATTGCTTCAGCCATAAATCATATAACTAAAACTGGGCCAACATCAACAACAAATATTAATTTCAGTAGCAGGAGGGGATTGGTCATCTTGTTTTGGTCATGTTATAGTAACCAAAAGAAAAAATATAACCTGACAGAAGCAGAGAAGCTTTGTCAGCACTGTGCTCTGTTCTTTTATTTTTTATGTATACCAAAAGGTGAAGAGAAACCAAAAAAGAAATGTATATCAGTAAATATGTTAGTGCAATAACCATCTATCAGGTCAGATCTTCATGTCGGTCTGTCTCTGATTTTCACGCATTTATGGATCCATCATTCTTTTTCTCTGTTCTGTAGGATTGAAAGCTACTCCTGCAAAATGGCAGGAGATGATAAACACATGTTTAAGCAGTTCTGCCAGGAGGGGGAGCCACACGTTCTGGAGGCTCTTTCCCCCCCTCAGTCCGGCAGCGCCACCAGCCCCTCGCAGTAAGTACTGTAATCCTGCTCAGCTGTAACTGATAGAGTATTTAAGATTTTTAACATGGGCTTCCTGTGTGCAGGCTGGGGAAGAGCAGTGAGGACGGGGAAAACCCCCTGAGCGATAAGGTCTGCAGGAAGACTCTGTTCTACCTCATCACCACGCTCAACGAGTCCTTCAGGCCGGACTATGACTTCAGCGCCGCTCGGGCCCACGAGTTTAGCCGAGAGCCCAGCCTTAACTGGGTGAGTCTCTGCGCTGTAGGAGGCTCGATTATTTGAAAATAATCACACTTGGTTATCTAACATTTTTGTTATGGTGTTCCTTCTTCCCTCAGGTGGTGAATGCTGTGAACAGCAGCCTTTTCTCATCTGTGGGAGAAGAATTCAACTCCGTGGGACCCGAGCTCTGGAACGCCATCGACCATGAGATCACTCTCCAGAGCTGTGACATTTACAGGTCAGCGTTTGTTTTTCATAGGTCAACAAAGCTTTAATCAATCACACCATCAGATGGAATCATTTTTTTATGTCTCCTATTGTGCTCAGCTACAACCCAGATCTGGACTCGGATCCTTTTGGTGAAGAGGGAAGCCTCTGGTCCTTCAACTACTTCTTTTATAACAAAAAACTGAAGAGGATTGTGTTCTTCACCTGTCGTTCTGTCAGGTGGGTGCCAATGGAAGTTATAAGGCTTTAAGAGGAAATTTATACTGGGCCTATTTGGGCTAGTTGCCATGGTGCTTTTTATTAATTCATGATTGAAACCATGCTTACATGGAAAAAGAAACGCTGATAAAATACTGTGGAAATGAACTTAACAGCGCTGAAATGAGCAATTGTTGAGAAAAATTGTCAAATCTCTGAGACTGAGCAAATTAATTTTTGATATTAAATCAAAAGAAATGAGCATGATTGGACATTGGAACTGATCTACTGTAATCACTTTTTGTGTATTTTTCATAATAAACATCAAAAACTGCAGCGAGGTTGTAATGTTACTGATGAGCCTTGATGTGAAATTTTAATAAGGAAATATGCCAGCTTTGGGAAGCAGTTGTCAATAAAGTTGTATAAAATATTGCCTTTTGCATAAACACATGCACATTTCTTCTATTTTTTTCCCCCCACTTTGATGGAAACATTTGTCACAGGCATAAATATTGAGTTGATCAGGCAGAATTTGAATCATGTAGGCCAACTTGCCTTTAACAGATTCAAGTATGAGGGATATAATTGCATGTAATTAAAATGCATGAAAATTTAGGCTCATAATTAATTTCTTGCTTCAGTTTAATACAAAACTACTACTTCTAAAGAGAGTTGTTTTTTTCCCTTCTCTGTAGTGTTTAATTCTCACAATATTGGGACCTCCAGGTAAACAGTCTATATCCGCCTTGAAGAAACTCACCGATGCATCACTGATTCAGCTTTGCTGAATGCAGTTGAGGGGGAGTTCCTAAATATTGCTGAGATAGTGCCAACAGTGCAGAATAAAAGAAGGCACCATTAAAGGAGTTAAATTTTAACCATACGGAACGAACTAGAACCTTATATCTGGTGATGTCACCAGCATTGATGTGAGGAACAATGTTTGTGCAATTGTTTTTTTGGTTTGTGAAGGTGGCAAAAAAAGTTTTACTATATGTATATTAAATTTTTTAGTTGTTGGATAAATCTTAACATTAAAGTGGTGTGATTAAATTGCAGCGTTCTGAGTGGCTATGGCAGAGGAAGCCTGGACAATGAGCTGGACATGGAGCTGGAGGAGGAGATGGACGGCTTCACAGAGGAAGGGTTAGATCATCATTGCTTCTGGCTTTTGTTTCCCCACAAATGTTTCTCTTCTTAATTTTTCCCTTATGTTTCCTTTAGGTGCCCCAGAGCTCTGTGTGTGTAGACCCTGGATATGCATCATCCAAAAAAAGCATCCATACCTTTGGTCCTTGTCGCTTTCTTTTAAAACCCGTTGGAGTATTGCTTCCTCATCTGATGCATCTTTGCTCACTTCGTCATCTGGCAAACTATGTGACCGAGACGGATGTTTTGTTTTCCTACTGTGACAAGTTTATCAGCATTATCGTTTTTTGACCCATTGGCTCCTCTCTGTGTTTTTCCAAAGAGACTTTGTCATTGAGACTTTTGCAGAAGTGGATTTACGGCAGAGAAAGATGAAAAAGACTGCCAGAAATTGGTTTGTTACCAATGTTGGGGGGGAAAAGTCCAGATAAACCAGTGACAAGACATTGGGAGTCCTTATTTGGACATAGCTGAGATGATGGAAATTCATAAAGACTGAAATAAGAGCCGACTTTGTGTCCTTAATGTCTTTTTATGTGTGAAAGTGATGTTACTGTGAAATGTTTCTTTTGAGAAAAAAAGGCCCTTTTTATTACAGAACTTATTTTATAGTAGCTAATAACCGCAAGTACTCTGTTTCCATGTTGGCTCCAGCTTGGTGAAAAATAAGCTTTTATTAGAAATTCACTGTATACACGTGTTTTAAAATGTTTTATTTTCCTAGCTCCATTCCTCAACATTTGTTCCTGCTGTTTTAGTTTTTGCTAATCACCTTGTTGCAGTGCTTCTTTAAAACATTGAATGTTTAGACTCCTAGAAGCTGCAAGGCTACTTTTATGTTCATTAAAAAATGTAATGGGCTCAGTGTCTTCTTAGTCTGCTATTCCTAGTTTTGAACGGTCAGTAGTGCAGATCTTAATTGGTGACTGGAGCAGGTGAAAAATACCTTCCTTTTAAAATAAACTATGTAGATTTATGATGTCCTGTGATGTATCTCAACTGTTATTCAGTTAAGACTACAGCTGATTTTTAGATGCGAATGCCTTCTACTGGCTGACACAGTCTGATTTTAAAACAGTTAAGATGAGCCACAAACTGTTGGAGCCTAGACTAGCTGAAAGTTTAGTGGAAGGAAAAGTTCAGAGGCAGGCGTATTTTGACCATGCCTAATATTCATTCTAAGCATATGAATGGGATTTTCATGGGCTGTAAATTACTAATAACAAATATTGATCCCTTGTAATGGATATAGTTTAAATTACTTTCATTTAAGTTGCATCTTTTGTTGGAAATACTAGACCCACCCGCCAGCGACCAAAATCATTTTTGCCTGCGAGTGGTCTAGCCCAGGCATTACCAAAGTCGGTCCTCGAGGGACGCTGTCCTTCATGTTTTAGAGGTTTTCCTGCTTTAGCACAGCTGATTATGATTGCTTTTGAACAAAAGCCTGTTAATGAGCTTTCAATTAAAATCAGCTGTGCTGGAGCAAGGAAACCTCTAAAACTTGCAGGACAGCGGCCGTCGAGGATCGACTTTGGGGATGCCTGATCTAGCCTCGATCATTGCCCCAGGCCCTAGAACTGGTTGGCCAATCACAACGCAGAGATGCGTTTGGAAATTCTGGATGCAAAGCGGGGCGGGGTTTTGAGGGCGTGATGACAAAGCTGCGCGACGCTGGAGAAAGCACAAGGAAGATGGCAACAACTTTTGAACAGTTCTCATTTGACTCGGCTTTGGAATCAGTTTTGGAAGGATAAGACTTGGGGGTTTGAGTGTAGAGCCTCTTCCTGCTCACGTTTCACTAATTTTAAAGGGCCTATTTGCCGTTTTACCAACAGGCTGTTTGTTTACACTCCCCCACCAGCTTTCTGTCCCGCTTACTAAGTCAGTCAGTTGCGCTCATTGGTCAGAGGGTTCTCATCAATCTTCCAATGTCTCATTAACCGGGGCCAGACCAAATTACACATTTAATCTCACATTTAGTCTGGTTTATCAGGCTAATAGAGTGCATAACATTGTCTCTAATGTTACTGTAGAAATATCACAATTCACTGAAGTGTTTCTGCTCCAGTTCTAAACAAAATGAGGTAAATCTTTAAGGTGGATTTCCCCATTAAAAACTCCAAACCTACCTGGTGCATCACCTACATTGAAGGCTATAAAAAAAAGACTTGCCATAAGGCTGGTTCAAAAAAGAAAATAAACTGTTTAATGAAAACAAAAGCAGTACATGATCCACACTTTGCCACACCAGTATTCAACCCGTCTCATTGCTTAATGAGCTCTAGCTAAATGCTCCAAGCCTCGCTGCTGCTGTGTTAACTGGTGCAGGGTTTAACTTCCTGTCTGATGACCTGGGCTCACTCTGAATCAAGCACCTCCTTATTTGGCCACCGAACTTGCATAACAAGTTCTTTTAAGTGGCATGTGCATAGATGTGATGAAAAGTTGAAGGATTCTTTCAACAAGCTGGAAAAGAGAAATGAATCAGGCAGACTACAGAAGTTCTGTTAAGGCTGAGCATCAAGTACCAGAACAATACCAGCTGAAATATTGAGTGTATCGTCCTCATGCGTACAATCCAAGCGCTTCACCACCAAAGTGTGAGCAGCGGCTGAGTGACAGCCTCCAGTAAATGTTTGGCACCTGTTAAATAGTGGCTTCTGCTTATCCCTTTGTTTAAAAAGTACAAAAACTGTTCAAGAAAAGATGCAGAACAATGTAGATACAAACCTACCGCTAAAAACGACTATAGAGTAAAAGTCAAATTAAATAACGTGATAAATCACTTATAAAATGCTGAAAAATACTGTTAAAAACAAATCTTGACGCGCAGTCAAAGTGATCTTTGAAATGAAACCTGCTGACATTCTGACTTAAGCACAGCCCGGATAACTTATGGCAAAAAAGCTGAGGGAACAAATGTTTTTTTAACAAGTTGAAACTCCAAATGAAAATGAGACTTGATGAATGTAGCTTATAAAACTGAAATCTAAAGTAACAAGCTTACATCTGTGCTTAGAATGAGAACAAAATAAAAAAGACAAAACGGACCAATGAATTAAACTAGTGTGAATATAATGGTTAGAGCTGCATTCATAACACTGCAAATCCTCTGACCTGAATAAATCCTCCTCGTTCTCAGCTTGATGAGAAGCAATAACAATATGATATGCATGAGTCATAAATTGTCCTTGATTGACATCTTCTCTGTAGTTTCTTTGTTTTAGAACAGACTGCCGCATAACAAATACTGTCATGGCGGGCTGTCGGTGCCGCTGTCCCGTTGTGACATTAACAAAGAAGAGAAAAGACGAGTCAGTAAGGACAGAAATGGTCTGCCACCTCTGGGGGTGAGGCAGGTAGTCTGGCGTTGATGGCACATAGAAGGGCTATCTGAGTCCAGCTCTGGAGGTCATCCACTCAAGGCCTTGACATAAACTGGGAATAAGAGACAAAAGAACATTTAGAACTGAGGAAAAAAAAAATAAATCTGTTTGTCCAATATTTCCAGTCAGAGCCTAACGCATGTAAATGTAAAATGTAAAACTAAATCAGCATCTTTTTGGCTTCCAAAACAACATATGGTAGCTTATTTCACTCCTACCTTGGAGAGGTGTGTTAAAATGGAGACCTCTGGTGGCAAACTTTTCAAGTCAAAGCTAAATATGGCAGAGATATGTAGATTTTACCACCATGTTTCCTCTGACTGATATAAATATTAACTTTGAAGAATAGTTAAAAGTGATCAAATATATTCGAATAATTGTTATTTGCTTCCAAGTTTAGAAAAGGTTTTGGTGCATGTGGTTATTATTACGCTTCTCACATCAACAATCTGATTTTGAATATAACCTAGGCCCCAAACGTCTGTATTAAATCATGAGATGGTAAAAGATACCCCACTCACTAAAAACTTTTATTCAGCAGCCTAATGGGGCCTGAAAGTTCACCAAGTTTAAGTTGTTGTAAAAAAACATGAATTATTTGCCTTCCATTTAACATCCATCCACTACTGTGTTGCTCCATCACATAAAATATAATTATAATGCAACTAACTTTGCTTTAAACTGTGAATTTGGAAAAATGCAATGGAGGTATGAGTAGCAAGACATGAGATTTTTCCTTCACTAATCCACATTATAATTACACATAGTTGTGTTGAAAAGAATGTAAGACGTTAATCATCTTGGAGCTTCAAGCCCTGCGAGTGGCTCGTTTAAACAAAACTGCGTGTGATGATCTCACCCCTCTCCTGTTAGAGCACAGCAGGACTGGATGTGCCAGGGGTGGTCTTTGATGGAGCTCAGGGTGAGGTATTTGGAGATCTCTGCCGCCGACATGCAGTCTTTCATATCCTGCTTGTTGGCGAATATCAACACAGCTGCTTTCCGTAGGTCCTGAGTGGACATTGAGAGAACAATGTTGCATGAATAGTATAAGGGAGACAGAGCAATGTTTCCTTCCTAAAGCGTTAGTTACCTCATGAGCCAACATCCTGTAGAGCTCCTCTTTAGAGATGGCCAGCCGTTCTCTGTCTGTGCTGTCCACCACCAGAATAATGAACTTCATGGACAAAAAGAAAAAGAAAATCATACAAAGCAACGTCTTGTACAGCCATGAAATGCAGCACAACAGGCGGGCATATCCAGGCCAGAAACAGCTTCTTATGGCTCCATCTAAATAAGAAAAGAAGCAACAACTGAGAGGAAATGAGAGACAAGTGGCAGCATGAACACTGAATACACGTCTCAAAAGGAAGTGAGGGGTCGACACGTCCACATTTAAACGATCTAGGGCTGCAATTAAGGATTATTTAAAAAAATCGCTTTTTTTTAATCAATTGATTAATAATCCGATAGCCAATAGTTGCTTAAAGAAGATGTTTTAAGAAATTAAACCAGGAGAAACTAAATTGTTTCCACTTGTGGAGTTCTGGAGCATTTTGAGAGATGAGAAGATGTTCAATGCAAAATATTTATACATTTTTATATAATAACTGCTCTAAGTGGGTTCCTCTGACAGCTGAAGGCCTGTTTTATAATCTCTATTCTCCAATTAACGATAAGTCGATTACTAAATTAGTTGGAGATTATTCCAATACTGGACTTATCATGATTAATCCTTTCAGCCCTAAACTGATCCCAAGAAAGAAAAAAACACAGATATTTTACTTTTGTACAGTGAAAGCCATCATAGCTACTGCTACACCCTTTTTATGTATACGCTTCTGTGAGTGAATAATTCAGAGAATCCAGGGTTTGGCTGGATTATTGGCCTTTATTAAATGACTTGTTGGTTGGAAATTTAAAATCATAATCTCTAATATTTCTGTTTGGATTCTGCTGGTTTGGGACATTTTGAGGAAACATATTTTTTACAGCAGGGGTCTCCAACCACAGCCCCCAATAGCAGAGGACTGGAGTGTTAAGGACTGGAGCTGGAGAGGGCAGCTCTACTGAATACACAGAATGATGATTGGTTATGGAGGCAGGCACTACCAATACTCTATTGGAGGCTAAATACACTGCCCAAGAAAATTAAAGGAACACTTTGTAATCAGAGTATAGCATTGAGTTAATTAAACTTCTGGGATATTGATTTGGTCGATTAGTAGCACAGGGGGTTGTTAATCAGTTTCAGCTGCTTTGGTGTTAATAAAATTAACAACAGGTGCACTAGAGGGGCAAAAACGAGACAACCATCAAAACAGGAATGGATTTACAGGTGGAGGCCACTGACATTTTTACCCTCCTCATCTTTTCTGACTCTTTTTCACCAGTTTTGCATTTGGCTAGGGTCACTATCACTACTGTTAGCATGATGCGCTACCTGGACCCTACAGAGGCTGCACAGGCAGTCCAACTCCTCCAGGATGGCACATCAATACGTGCCATTGCCAGAAGGTTTGCTGTGTCTCCCAGCAAAATCTCAAGAGCATGGGGGAGATTCCAGGAGACAGGCAGTTACTCCAGGACAGCTGAACAGGGCCGTAGACGGTCTACAACCCATCACCAGGACCGGTATCTGCTCCTTTGTGCAAGGAAGAGAAGGGGGAGCACTTCCAGAGCCCTACAAAATGACCTTCAGCATACCACTGGTGTGAATGTCTCTGACCAAACAATCAGAAACAGACTTCATGAGGGTGGCCTGAGGGCCAGAAGTCCTCTAGTGGGCCCTGTGCTCACTGCCCAGCACTGTGGAGCTCGATTGGCATTTGCCACAGAACACCGGAATTGGCAAGCCGCCACTGGCGCCCTGTGCTTTTCACAGATGAAAGCAGGTTCACCCTGAGCACATGTGGCAGACGTGAAAGGGTCTGGAGAAGCCGTGGAGAATGTTATGCTGCCTGTAACATCGTTCAGCATGACCGGTTTGGTGGTGGGTCAGTGATGGTCTGGGGAGGCATATCCCTTGAGGGACGCACAGACCTATACAGGCTAGACAACGGCACCCTGACTGCCATTAGGTATTGGGATGAAATTCTTGCACCCATTGTTAGACCCTATGCTGGTGCAGTGGGTCCTGGGTTCCTCCTGGTGCACGACAATGCCCGGCCTCATGTGGCGAGAGTATGCAGGCAGTTCCTGGAGGATGACAGAATTGATACCACTGATTGGCCCGCACACTCACCTGACCTAAATCAAATAGAACACCTCTGGGACATTATGTTTTGGTCCATCCGACGCCGCCAGGTTGCACCTCAGTCTGTCTAGGAGCTCAGTGATGCCCTGGTCCAGATCTGGGAGGAGATACCCCAGGATGCCAACAGTTGTCTCATTAGGAGCATGCCCTGACATTGTCAGGCATGCATACACTCACGTGGAGCCATACAAATTACTGAATACAATTTTGAGTTGCTGCAATGAAATTTCAGTAAAATGGACTAGCCTGCCGCATCATTTTTCAACTGTAATTTTTATGGCGTCTTTGAATTCAGCCCTCTGTAGGTTGATCATTTCCATTTCCATCAAATGATGTGGCATCCTTTTGTTTCCTAACGCATCATCCAGTCCATATCAGTATAAATAAACAGCAGGATTTTTTGCCCCCATTGAGATGTGATGTGTTTTCAAAGTGTTCCTTTAATTGTTTTGAGCAGTGTAGTATTTTAACCCAATTCTGTCGATTCAATGTAAAAGGCAAAACATTTCACAGCGACTGAATTCACTCAGACAGCAGGACGGTATTATATTTGCTTCTCTTATGAAAAGGCAACCAAGGAAGAGCCAAAAGGTCTCAGATGGACATTCATAGAGCTGTAAGCTTTGGCTCTCAAAAGAGAATATGGAAAAAAATTAAATCTTTACCGTCACGTTAAAGCTTTACTAAAACCAGAAATTAAAAGTCTGCCATAAAAACGCCTCATGTTTTCTGCTACAGACATATTATTTGCTGATCCTAAGCATGATCAGTTTACAATTACTGTATGAAACATGTCAATCTTCATCTTTATTTTTATGAATCTTATAGGGAGAATTATACTTTAAAAATATAACTAAAGTTTCTGTAAATGTATTTATTTCAGTTGAAAGGTTTTAAGTACAATCTGGCTTTTTTGAGCAATCTCCTCAAACACATCTGCCTCTCCAACTTTTGGCCCGTCTGCAGACCCCACCTCTGCCTCTTAGTCAGGCCTCTTTGTGAAACTGCTGACCTCTGACCTCCTAAACCCCCCCAACAGTCTGCTCTGAATGAACACAACAGCTGCCACTCTCAGGAAAAAGAACAAAAAGAACAAAAAACAAGAGGCAATGGGAGGAAGTTAGGAACGATGTTAAAATGCTTCTCACCTCTGTGTTGGAGTAATAGGTGTTCCAAGAAGACCTCAGAGATTCCTGTCCCCCTATATCCCACATCAGGAAGTGGGTGTTCTTCACCACTATCTCTTCCACGTTGCTCCCAATGGTGGGCGATGTATGAACAACCTCATTCATCAGACTTTAGCAATGGATAAAAAAGAAAAAGCATTAAAAAATAACTAAAAAAAAAGTTTATGAAAGTTTTAAGCAGTAGTTTCAAACACCATACTTACAACTGGTAAAGGATGGTGGTTTTCCCTGCATTGTCTAGACCCACAATAATTACCTTGTGCTCTGCGGGAAGGAAAAACAGGGATTTGTTTTATGATCTGCTGAAAGACACAAACTGTACTGTTTAACAGGACTGCGTGGCAGAGAGGGAAAAATACAAAGCATTGTTTTCAGTCAACACAAAGCACTCCCAGGTGCAAAATACAACCGACTAAACTTCCTGTCTCGTATCTCACTGACATCACACCTCATTACGCTTTATCTTTCATATTTTTATTTTAAGAGAGATAAATACTATTCTGTTGTATCTTAACTAAGAACTGCTAGAAGTGGAGGGAGGACTTCAGCTGAGTACATCTAGTAGAGCAAACATTTAGGATCAGGGTGTGAACTTTTCTGCCAGTTTGAGTCCTGAGAGGAAGGAAGTTCTGCTTGTTAGGATGAACTCTGCTGCTTTCTGCAGGATAAACACAGCGTATTACTTCCTTCATTGTTCAGCTACTGTGTCCATCACAAGCACTGCATGCCAATAAAATGCATCTGTGACCTGTTTTATAAGTCACAACCTGGGAAGATTTTATTTCCATCTTTGACAGTCTTTTCCTTCCGGGTTAAGTCGAAAGCACCTTGTGCTTTATTGGGATTTCATGCAACTAAAAAATACGGGTAAGTTTGAAGAGAAAAACAGGAATCATTTTTTTTTATGGCGTTGAAAAAGTAATGACGCTGCTTCCCCTGCCTAGATGTGCTCAGTGTCTTGGCTGCTTCTACTTAAGCGTTGCTATAATGTGCTGTTGTACTGCTTTGGATATTGTTTTACGAACCTAATCCTGCATAAAACCTCTCTATAAGGTTATCCTTTATAAAACACAGCTGACCTGTCAGCTGTTTCTTGGCGTGGACCTGTGAGGCCCTCAGAGAATGGTTCATATATGAACAGATTGAATTACAGACAGCTGAACTCTGTTTAATAATTAAGTTACTCATGAAGGATCATGTAATGTGGTTTCATTACAGGTGTCAGAGTAGGGAATATAAATGCACAGCCAACTTTTCTTGTTCTTATTTGTAATATATTATGAACTGTGAATAATAGTTTCCCTCTGCTACATCTTCTCTGGTTGATTCTGTATTTATCAATCACATAAAATTCATCTTGAGGTTTGTGGTCATAACATGACTTGCTCGACAAGAAATGTCATCTTAGCATTTAATGTAACGACCGCCATTTTTGCAGATCCTCTGCCTGAGTGACATGCAACCAGAAACACTGCATTAGTGAAAATGATTTAATGTTGTCACAAAGTGAGAGCGCTGTACAAATAAAACAGTCTATCATTATTTTCCCTTCATGAACTTTCACACAGTTCTGTTTTATTGGATGCCATCCAAAGAACACTAGCTGGTAACTTTCCAGCACAGTTTTAATAATATTGTAAGGTTTTATCTAGTGTTGCGGCAATGCCGTTTTTTGGCACCGATAACGATAGCTGGCTGTGCAGTATTGGCCGATATCGATACTATCTGTTTGAAATTGGTGTGTGTGTATATGAAGAACTGCATACTAATTGGATGTAAAATAATTGCCGTCATTGTTTTATCAAGCTGCTGCCTACCTTTGTGAGGCAGGAAAAAGATTAATACAAAGTGAGTCCAGTAGAACTTTTTATTGCCTACCTGGAATGGGTGACAGTTGAACGCCCGATATTGTTATTGGTATCGGTGCAACACTAGTTTTATCTGAAAGCTTCGTCTATTGGGCCATGCTTTCAGTCAGTCTGATTAAACTACTCAGTATCCCGAGTTAACTTAACCGTTGTTTAGATTTTTTTCTCTGATTTTGCACTTTAATAATTTAAAGGCCAGGTATTTAGTTGAAGGAAGCTCTGGGTAAACCTGCAGTATGGTTTTCTCTTTTTTAATTAAACAAGTCAACAACCATTATCACACTGTTGATATGTATGGTTATATGTAGAGACTTCGTGTTTTATTTTAACCCAGAAGGAAACACATATTGGCCTATATTAGTAGGTTTTCTCCTATTGAAGTTCTGTAAAGATTCTCAGTCATCCAGGTCAAAGTCAGTCTTAACAAAGCTGAACTTTTCAAGCTTGTATTGAAGTAGGTAATGCTTTTGATTATTTATTATGTTGTTTATCACCTTTCTCTACCCCCAGCTTAAGACACATGATGGAGAACAGAAGATGAATGTTAACTTTCTCCATGTCAAATCAGACAATTAAGTAAATATTCCCAATGAACAGGATATTAATATTTTTTTCTTCTGCAAATTCTTCGCAAATGTAACAAGCAGAGCTTAACTGCATAGCTATCTGCCTGGATAGCCAAAGGATTCATATTAACACTGTTTAAGTTTGCCAGCTCTCATTTTGAAACAGCAGTAGTTTAATAGAAGTCACAGGTGGTGTTTCCTTTAGTTTTTGCAACTAACTGTGATTTTTCCACTACCATAAGTATTTGCAGTATACCGTAACTAAATATCTCGTTAATTTTGTAAATGAAGGGAAAGGCTTCTTTCAGCCAGCTGATTAGCAGTGTGCAGGTGGAGGCATCTTTAGTAAATTCTGATGTAATATATGATATGATCATGATACACTCATGTGAATTGTGAGAGGAACAACAGGATAAGTAGATTCAGTTCCAAGAAAAGTTGCAGTGTGTGTTGTTTATGTAAACAAAGCTAACATGCAAGGTTCTGCAGTTGGAAGAACCCTCTGTTACAGGTTTACTTAACAATTACCAACTTGTTGAGGGCTGGAAACGAGTTCAAGCTAAATCCAAACTTTCATGAACCCTAAACATGTTTTAAAATCGTGGAGCATTTTATCTAGTTGATAATGTCAACAGTGAGCAAACTCTAGAAAGCTCATAAGTTATGCAACGCTGGGTGTCCTGGATAGGGAGCTAAAGCTGATTGACAAACTGGATAAAGTGAGGCAGGCTCTAGGTAACTTAATGTAATTATATCGCCTGAGTGATAAACAGATTAAGCGCTGTGGACACGGAGAGACGCGTTTGGAGTTTGAGTTGTTTTTGTCACTCATTTCAAACAAAGAAGGGGACAGATCAGAGTCAAAGAGATGCGTGGCGAGATAATTCCCCCCTCCATCTGTTCCTGCAGCTCTCGCTGTTCGGTTCATGCCAACAAACTCATTATTTCCAGTAGAGTTAAGCTTTAGTGAATCCAAGTGTGCGGGAGGCTTTTTTTTTGTTTTCCAGACACGAAACCTACCTTGGTTGCAGAAGTAGCTCCACAGTTTGGCGAATATCAGGCCCATGGTCGGGTTGGGTTAAGGGGGTGTTCGGCTAACAGCAGCCCTTAGCTTATACTCTCCGCTCCCTGCTGGTCCACACCGCGCACCCGTCGGTCCGAGCCTGGCTGCTGCGGCAAGCTAACACTAACTGCACATTTTCTCAACAACAAAGCGCCTCCCTGACACCCAAAATCTTCACGTGCTGCGGTTTCTACTAAATATACCTGACGTCAAGATGAATACCGTGTTGTAGTGATTAAGTATAGATAGAAAAAACGTTATAAAAACGACAAAGAAACTGGACAAACGCCTGTTCAGCGGAGCAATGCGTCCACACAGCTGGTGGTTAGGACCTGAGCCAGCGATAGCACATCACCGGGAGAAAGCAATCCCGACTATTCACTTCATTGTGGTACGTCATGACGTAATGCTACGTCTGTTATATTTCAGTTACGCTCGCATAAAGCAAATTGCAAAAGATGACGATATTACATTTCAAATAACTGGTATTGAAATACTAAAAAATACATTTAATTAACTAAACTACTTAATACTAATTATAATATAATAGTATAATTATTCTAACTAGTAGTTATCTTTATTTTTGAAACCCTTTATATTTTATGTTATTTTTTATGTTCATTAAGTTTTGAGTTTTTTTCATATGTCTGTCATGTGACGCGCGTAGTGATTAAAAAAATTGAGTTTGATGTAAAGTAATGTTACTGCACACTCATGTACAGTAGGTGGTGGTATGCACCTTAAAGTTGCTTGCGATCCGCCTTAATAGAAAAGAAGAAGACTCGCGTAGTGACGCATGCGGAAGTAGTGGCCATAAGAAAACAATTCACATCCATGCCGCTTAAGTATAGGGAACTTGCATACTTTAGTAAAGCGTTTGGTTAAAATGAATGATATCATTCCTTCTGTTAATATTCATACAAAGAGGGTATATTGAACGGTTTAGTGGCTTCTTTAGAGCAGATATACTTTCATAACAAAACGATCAAACGTTAGCCGCTATCAAGTCATTGAAGATTGCAAGGATAGTATTCAGTGTTGCTTATTTGTATATCGAGTTAGGATTGTGCAATTCTTGTACATACATTTTCCCACGTTTTCTTTTGGCAGTCTCAGGTTCTTGTGCACAAAGGAGAAATGTCAGTATTTCCAAGAATCTCCCTGAAGCCTGAAGTAACAGAACATTTGAGAAGCGTCTTCATAAACAAAGAGGTAAATAGTTATTTAAAATATATTATATTAAGAAAAAAAAAACTAAAAACTTTTAGATACCTTTAACAACATTAAATACTAACTAATACTAACTTACATAGAATATTACATTCTTGAAGATGTAGGAGATAACAGATAATTAGTCTATGTCGCTGTTCAAGAGTTTTGTTTTATTTCCTTGTGCATTAAAAAAAAAAACATAAATGAAGATACATCTGAGGGGTTTTAAGCACATTTTAAGTTCACCACAAGACATCTTAATTTGACTTTGACTGGGCCAAAGTTGTAGGACTTTTCACTCAATGTCCTACAACATTAAAGTGTGTTTAAGCTTAATGTCACGTAAACAGATGGTTAGGCATCCATGTTTTACCAATCATAGGAACAATCCCGATTATTGTTGGAAAATGTGTAGCAGTGGTTTTTCCCCTGTTACCCTCCAATTAAGGCCATTTTTATTCATCTTTTTTCACGGTTTTGATATCAAAATTTGTTGAATGATCTGATAAAGTAAGAAGAGATTAAAAGCATTTTAAAATACAATTATAAAGTGGCAAATACTTTTACTGTATTTAAGAAAGGATGTTCCAATTGCCAAAAACAATATCAACAGCATCACAATAGGGGATTGTTTAAAAGTTGTGTGTGTGTATATATATATATATATATATATATATATATACACACAGTTGTGCTGTGAGCTGTTGAGCAACACACACACACGTGTGTTGCTCAACAGCATTTTATTTCAGGATTAACACTTTGAGACAAACACTGAAATCAGGTGTTTTCTGTAATGGTCAGTAAGAATTCTGTGCCTGTTGGCAGTTTTTATGTTGGTTCACTGTTCAGAAAGGTCCTTCAGGTTGTCTAGGACAGTTTATTTTTGAGATTATTAAAAAAGAAAAAAATCTATATTTTATTTTTTTAAAGTTATTAGTAAATTGTTATTATTTTTTTCTGTTTAGTGTTATTTGAATTATTAGTGTAAATTTATAATTTTCTTTAATGGGAGGGGATTTAAACTTTCAAGCACAACTGAATAGAAATGAGCTCAACCTTACTGAAAAAAATGGGACCTGAAAGGTTTCTCATTCCTGCTGTAAATGGTTTAGGTGTTGGCAGCTGTGGGTCTCCAGGAAGCTGAGTGCCGTTTCCAGAAGCTGCTCACTTGTTTGTCTCACCCACCTTCGTATACTTGTGTGCGAGCCAGTACTCACCTGGCTCCTCTAGAGGACATCAGGCTCAGCCTGGAGGAGGAACTGAAGAAGGTGAGAAAGGTGTCTATTTATTTAACGTTTTCACTTGAGTTGCAGGTGTGTGACTTAGTTTCATTTCTAAAGCAGCAGAAGTGCAGCTCATCAGGAGAGAAGCTGTCTATCCAGATTGCTCAACACCCACAAATCAAAGATGTGCTGCTTCTGCCTGTTGATGGCCCGAGGTATGCAAGGAATCCTGAAACTTCCTGTTTATCTCTGTAGCTTACATTCAACATGAGTCCTAAAGCTCAGCTCAGAAATTAAAGAAATACAAACATGAAAAAAAATGCATCCTGTGTTTAATCAAAGAATAACCCACAATTGGAACAGAAATAACTTTAATCTGACAAAAATAATGATTAAAAAACTGTATGAAGGAGCATCGATAGCAGACCATCAGTTCTTGTTTGAGCCAAATTGGACTTATTAAGCGTTGATCAAGAAGGACACCATTGTTGGAAAAAAAATCATAAAAAGCCAGAGTGGAGTTTGCCAAAGCACATTTTGACAAGCCAAAATGCCAAAAAATGTTATTTTTTGCCAAGGTCCATCAGCTCTATGTTCACATACAGGAAGAAATGAAGCATATCCAGAAAAGAACACAGTCCCTACTTTGAAACATGGAGGAGGCTCCGTTACGTTAGGTTACATAACAGTGAGAGAGTAAAGCACAAAGACATTGCCATCCCATATGTTGCTAGACACTCTGAAAAACTCAAGAGGATTTTCATCAAACACAAAATTTCAGTACATTCCAAACCAAACAAGACCCTTAAACAGAGACTAGTGCATCAGAAACCAGATACCTCTCCTCAGACACATGCCTCAACACAGGCAAGCTACCTCCTCCGGACAAGACTCGGCTGTACATCTACACCTTATGGACAAAGGACATT